TATCTTCCACACAGGAGAAAAGCCTACCCTGTTGTTGGAGGATCAACAAGTGGGGAAATTCAAATCAGTGGAGGAGAGTGAGACACAGCAAGGACAGCAGTTGGTGAGCGTTCTAAAGAAGTCGCTGTTGAATTGTCTTGGATGAGTTGGTGAGGAGTGAGTTAAATAATTAGAAAATGCTACGGGACTTTGACGTAGTTAAGCTGGACACCATTCCGAAGTATCTACCAGGAACTCAAGCAGCTTCAACTCCAAACAGGACTACATCCAACCTTGACGCGTCAGAGTATATTCATGTCAATAGCAGAATGATGAGGACATCGCAAAGAATATTGAAGCCAACCAAGGATCGCAGGACAAGAATCAGGTAAATGATGGTACATCTTCTGCCGGCTGTAAGGGTGTTCCCGCACCAGTAAGTAGCCCTACACAGCCGGGACAGCAAGACAGAACTCATGAGGGTAGCTTAGTATTGATCTATGGTTCCATGCCGGGAACGTCCTTGTCATCGATACAGATGGATACAGTTGTTAGGGAGTTACGTAAGCCTGCATCAGACCTAAAGAAATTTTCAGGTGACCCTTTGGAGTATCGCAGATTTCTACGTCAATTTCAGGCTCGAGTAGTGAGTAACACTAGAACCAACGACGAAAAGCTGAACTATCTGAAACAAATCACCGATGGAAAAGCACACCGTGTTGTTAGTGGGTATAGCTGTCTTGAAGCAGACATTGGTTATCCAGCGACATTGAATGAAATGGAAAGGGCGTTATGGCGACAAGGAGTTGGTGGCGACTGCTTACATTAGGCAGACTTTGGATTGGCCATTGATCAAACCGGATAACCCTAAGGCCCTGGACGCTTATGGTATATTTTTAATGGAGTGTCAGAACGCAGTCAATGCCATAGATGTGGTGCGGATCCTAGAGTATTCCGGGAACTTAAAGATCCTCGTTGGCAAGTTAGCCTATAGGCTTTAAGAAAAATGGCGAGGCATAGCACAGAACACACGCGAGAAGAATGAAGTAGTAAGGTTTGACCAGCTAGTGAAGCTTGTTCAAAGGGAGGCTAGAAAAGTAATGGACCCCATCTATGGAAGGCACGCCATGCAGGAGTCAAATCTGCAGCCCGGAGGTCACGGACAAAAAACAGTCAAACGGAGCAGCTTTGCTACAGAATATTATCACCGGAAGATTTGGATCATCGATGGCCACTGCCTCCAAAGGATCAAGCTGAGGCTACTAGTCAGCAGAGGATCAATAGGGACATCGTAGTCGTCAAACCATGTGGTTACTGCAATGACTCTGCACATGCTATGAAACATTGCAATAAGCTGAAGATAAAGACGCACGATGACAGGAAAACTTTCTTAAGGTTAAAGAGGCTCTGCTATGGTTGCATTAAGCCTGGGCATCAGGCTAAGTTTTGTCGTAATAGGGCCAAGTGTTCAAAGTGTGGTGGATCTCATCTCACAATGCTACATAGGGATAAAGCTGCGGCACTTTCGGAGTTTAAGAAGGCATGTTCAAGCATCACGAGCAAAGCTGATGGCAATAAACAAAGCAGTGGATGTGATCTACGGTGCCATATAAAAGCCGGCGGGGGGAGCATAGGGCAATGTACAATGGCGATAATCCCTGTCATGGTCAAGACTTCGGATGGTGGCGTACTAGCAGAAACTTACGCATTTCTTGACCCAGGCAGTAACGTCAGCTTCTGCACTGATAAGCTGGCTGCTCAACTAGGAATCAAAAGAAAACGAATGACAATAAAGCTAGAAACGATGGGAGCCTCTCAGAACTTGGTAACACATAGAATCACAGGACTGGAAATCAGTGGTTTAAATAGGGATACTATTATCAAGCTACCAGCCTTGCTCACTAAGACAGACATGCCAGTTACCAGGGTCCTCATTCTAACTTAGACAGATATTAGTGGATTTGAACCCCTCGATGACATTGGATTGCACAGGATCAACGCAGAGATTGACCTACTAATTGGGAACAATGTGCCGGATGCGTATACGCCATTAGAGCTCAGTACTGGTCCGAGAGGAACACTCCATGCAGCCAAGTCAGTTGTTGGATAGATCTTGTAGAGTGTTTTAAGAAGCAATGAACTGCACACTCGTTGTACCGCAAACAGAGCTGAAGCATCTGCAATACAGGACATGGGTCGTCTAGAAAGTTTAGTTTGTAATGCCATGAATATGGACTTCCCAGAGCGTGGAGTAGACAGTAAACGGGAGCCATCAGTGGAGGAAAAGCAGTTTAACAAGATAGTGGAGGAATCAATGAAATATCAGAATGGTCACTACTCCATGGATTTGCCTTTTCGACAGGCAAACATCAAGTTGCCAGATAACCTGGCACAAGCCACGGATCGGCTCTCGTCGCTACAGAAACGCTTGAGCAAGAATGGGCAGTTTCACAAGGATTATACGACATTCATGAACAATCTTCTAGAGAAAGGGTACGCAGAGAAGGTATACGAGGATCGGGATATTACAAGAGAAAATGGAAACAAGTGGTACATTCCGCATCATGGTAACTATAATCCTAATAAACCAGGAAAAATTAGGGTTGTGTTTGATTGCTCAGCAAAATGCAGAGGAATATTTCTAAATGACACCCTTGTCTCAGGCCCAAACTTAACGAATGCCATCGTGGACGTGCTATTGCGATTCCGTCAGCAACCCGTAGGAATCTTGAGAGATATAGAGGGCATGTTTAACTAAGTCAAGGTCAATGAGCATCATCGGGACTTTTTGCGGTTCCTGTGGTATCCTGGAGAAAACCTAGACCGTTATAGTCGAGAGTAAATAAATATCGCAATTTTTATGAATTTTCAGTAAATTTGCCGCCATGGTAAAGGTGTATTTACCTGCCGATCATATTTGGTTGAGATATCATAATTAACAATAAAATAAGACCTCTAGGCTTACTTTGGTAGTGTTTTGCATATGCTTTGAGGTTTGTGCATGTGGTTTGTGGTCAGTTTGATAGCACAGAAGTGACATTAGTAGGGCATTACACGCTAGATCAATTATTTAGATCGTCATATTACCACCGACAAAGGCAGCATCATACGTTTATTGGGTTTTATGTTTGAGTAGAAATGTGTAAGTTTGATGTCATTAGTATTTGATTAGATGATTTCTTATGGTGTTTTGTAATTGTGTTTTTGCAGTTTACATCATATAGAAAAAACGTACAAATACGGCTGTGTACCCAGTATCTACTGATGTATTAATAAAGAAATCAACACAAGAAAAGGGTTTGGACGTCTAATCCAAGTGATGTTACATAGAGTATAATAATCAACGCGTTTATGTACTATTAATTAGCTTAATATACGAGAAGATTTGAATAGAATGAATAGTCTAGGTTGTGGAAGAGAGCAATATTTACTTAGAAACGGGTTGCGTCAGCAAGGGAGACAATCGTACCAGCCACGGAATCTGCGTGAGGAGTAGTGTTTTGACGATGCGTACTTAACAACGGCACGTAAGGAGGCGTTGCCAGCTAGGTATATAAGGCGCGCCGATCCGCAGCACAAGAGTGTTCTTTTTCAGGTTAGGTAGGAAGAAGACCAGAAAGAAGAAGAAGAAAGCATTTTTGGTTCCGGGGAGATAGAAGAGGGAATAGGAGAACGGGGTTTCATGTAGTTAGAACTACGGGTACATGGAATAAAACGGAAAGGAAAGAAGCACGGGATATCAGGTAGGTAGAGCCAGGAGCGACTACGAGAGAGACACCCTTGGAGGCTACCTAGGTCTATGCGAAGAGAGGACGACGGGAAGAGAGGACGACGGGGAGAGGGGAAGACGAAACCTGCAACGCGTTAATTTTTTTAATATTAGTCTAGTGGTTAGTTAAACAACGTAAAAGCGCTTCACGCTGCACTGTTAATCGCAATAATGGCAAACCATATAACGCAAGCTATAAGTAGCGTAGGCTACATATACGAGATAAATACAGATCCGCGGCATATACGAATGCAGGGGAATTATTCTCGATTTACCATAACTCTACAACTTACCGGCACATTAACTTGATCAAATGGACAGATCGTATATCACTTTATTTTAGTTACGTGTGACTTGTTGTTCC